TTCAAAAATGCAACTGATGATCCAAGTTATCTGAAGGATAGAGCTATATTAGCGCCTACTTTGGAGGTCGTTAAGTCTATCAATCAATAAATGTCAGATATGAATTCTGTTGAAGGTCGTACATATTTGAGCTCTGACAGTACGTCTAAGTCCGATTGCAATGGTTTTTTGGCTGATCTCCACATACCCGAGTTCTTGAATAGCATTAAGTGTTCGGGAACGCCGAACCATGAGTTGTATTTGAAGATAGGAACTCCGGTCATGTTGTTGCGAAATATGGACCATTCTCTGGGTCTGTATAATGGCACATGTTTGGTTGTTACGAAGCTCTCTCCACATGTTTTTGAATGTAAGATATTGACTTGAGATCACGCAGGTGAGAAGGTGTTGATTCCTCGGATGAACATAACTCCTTCTGATGTTAGGGTTCCGTTTAAGTTCCAGCGGAGGCAATTTTCCCTTATGGTTTCCTATGCCATGACCATAAACAAGAGTCAGGATTAGTCTTTATCACATGTTGGACTGCTCTTGAAAAAACCTGTTTTTAGTCATTGCTAGTTATACGTCGCTGTTTCACTTGTTACTAATAGGAAGAGGTTGAAAATATTAGTTTGTGGGGGACGATGAGTTTCCCAGTAATCAAACTAATAACGTTGTATATAAGGAGGTTTTTAAAAATGTAGAACTTTTTACCAATGACGATTTTATATTTACTTTATGAATGTCATACGTATTATAATAACTTATTAATTAATGACTTTCTAATTTTTTAATTTTTTTCAAAACATGTACTAGTCCGTGCATCGCACGGGTTACATACTAGTTGTATAAATTCACATAGAGTGAGACCTATCAAAAATAAAAAAGAAAATGCTACAAGTGCATAATAAATGTACACAACACCTACATGGAGTGGGGTGACTTGATTTTTCTTTGTGGGTCTCACTCAATGTGAGTGTTATGTAAACTCCTATGTACAATATTATAGAGGAATTTGCACCACATACCATTCAATACACTTTATATTACATTTATACACCCCATAAATATATATTTGCAACTCTACTAAATTCTACATACTTATTTGCACATGTACCAGATTTTTCAATTTATTAATTATGGAGAATAAATATAGAAACAGAGGTATATTTATAACCAATCCCTATTATCAAGGAATTAATTTTCTCTTTCTTTCATCTTGTTCTCCATTATCTCAATCATTTCCTCATCAACTATTTTCTTCAAATGAAACGCAGTTCAAATTAAAAATATTGTGCACGGCCTCAAGGTAGCAAATGAAGGTAGACATGAGAAAAAAAAAAAATATAATAATTGTGTTTAATTTGTATTATTGGTTAATTAATTGCTTATTTTATATCGATTTTGTTTTCATTTGATGACTCTGGATCGAGAGGAAAAAACAAGAGGTGGTGAAAAGCAAAACCCACAGTAAGTATAATTGTATCTCTTCATTTATTTATATTAATTTTGTCCTGTTTTTGTTTATATTTAATTGTGTCTCTCGAGTAGATGCTGCTCGCTGGTGGCGATGACGGGTAGTGAACGGACGCCGACGGCAGTTGCAGGCCTCTCGTGTTCGGTGACTTGCTGATGGAGATCCTCGGCGATGGTTGCGTGTTCGGTGACTCGCTGAATTTATTTTATATGTACAATATATATACATATACTGGGATATGTACAATTATTGTACATCTTAATTTATGTTTAGTATATTAGTTTATTCATAGTTTATGTTTGGTATATTATAAGATTTTATTGACAAAGCATAAACAGATTTTTTATTTTCGTTTATATGTATGGTTTATAATAAGTTTATTTTCAGTATATGATAAAGAAATTTATCGCGAGACAAAGCATAAACTGATTTAAACCATACATATATACTGAAAATAAACTTACTATAAACCATACATATAAACGAAAATAAAAAATCTGTTTATGCTTTGTCAATAAAATCTTATAATATACCAAACATAAACTATGAATAAACTAATATACTAAACATAAATTAAGATGTACAATAATTGTACATATCCCAGTATATGTATATATATTGTACATATAAAATAAATTCAGCGAGTCACCGAACACGCAACCATCGCCGAGGATCTCCATCAGCAAGTCACCGAACACGAGAGGCCTGCAACTGCCGTCGACGTCTGTTCACTACCCGTCATCGCCACCAGCGAGTAGCATCTACTCGAGAGACACAATTAAATATAAACAAAAAAGGACAAAATTAATATAAATAAATGAAGAGATACAATTATACTTACTGTGGGTTTTGCTTTTCACCACCTCTTGTTTTTTCCTCTCGATCCAAAGTCATCAAATGAAAACAAAATTGATAGAAAATAAGCAATTAATTAACCAATAATACAAATTAAACACAATTATTATATTTTTTTTTCTCATGCCTACCTTCATTTGCTACCCTGAGGCCGTGCACAATTTTTAATTTGGACTGCGTTTCATTTGAAGAAAATAGTTGATGAGGAAATGATTGAGATAATGGAGAACAAGATGAAAGAAAGAGAAAATTAATTCCTTGATAATAGGGATTGGTTATAAATATACTTCTCTTTCTATATTTATTCTCCATAATTAATAAATTGAAAAATCTGGTACATGTGCAAATAAGTATGTAGAATTTAGTAGAGTTGCAAATATATATTTATGGGGTGTATAAATGTATTATAAAGTGTATTGAATGGTATGTGGTGCAAATTCCTCAATATTATATGCCTATAACATTACTCAAATAAAAAATTAAGTGGATCTCACTCAATGTGAGTGTTATGTTACATTTATTATTTACTTGTAGCATTTTCTTTATTAATTTTACATTTTTACTACTTGAGATGAATATAATATACATAAAAAATATACACGTGCACAATTTTATATTAATTAATTCCAGTTGTCCACCTGTCCTACATCTTCTCTTTCTCTCTCCCACCGACGCCACCGTCACTTTCCCTCTCCACAATACACTTCCAACGAAGAAAAAAAAATACCCAAAATCAGATATACAGAAAAAAAGGAAACATTCCAGTCCAAATCTGATCGGAATCGTAGTCGGGTTCCCGTCCGTCCGCCGGAATGTTTCTGTTGGACTGGTTTTACGGCGTCTTGGCATCTCTAGGGTTATGGCAGAAGGAGGCTAAGATCTTGTTCCTCGGCCTCGATAACGCCGGCAAAACTACGCTCCTTCACATGCTCAAGGATGAGGTATTTTGCATATGTTTTTTTTAGTATTCGTTTATTTCGGATAGGATTTTTTCGTTTTTAATTTCGTCGTCTGATCCTTATTGGATTGGTTTTATCCTTATTGGCTTGTAAATTTTTTTTTTCGTTAAGAGATTAGTACAGCATCAGCCGACACAATACCCGACATCTGAAGAGCTGAGTATCGGAAAAATTAAGTTCAAGGCTTTTGATTTGGGCGGTCATCAGATCGCGCG